ACATGGTTTCACCAGCACCATTTTATGATGGTTAAATCCATTTGCAGAGCAGGTTGCAAAGAAGAAAGGAGAAAGATCTTGAATATTCCCATAAACCCCCTTAGAAAGCTACTTCCTATTGGCAGAAGGAGATAGAGGAACTCTCCATGCGTAAGCCCATTGTAAAGCTTGTTTTCTGAACCTGAGGGCAATAAGGAAACATGGATGGATGTGATCTTATTTTAATTTAATTTAACAAATATACATTGAGTGCCAGCTGTGAGCTGGGCACTGTTAGCCACTGACAATACAGTGATGAACCAGCTATCATCCTCGCCCTCAAACATCTTACCATCTATGTGGGAAACCTGATGGGTAAGCACTAGCTTTAGTGCTTAAAATGAATGTTCTAAACGGAAGTTTCCAGTTCAGAAGCTACGAGTGCCCTGCGCTACACTCTATTTCAGACAACAAATAAAGGCCTGAGGCCTGAGACTGTTCTTATTCTTTCTCTGAATTCCTGCTGGAATCCAAGATCAGGACCCCTCCAACGCGACCTCATCCCATTACAGAGTGGGTGTCCTGTAAGTCACAGCTCAGCCAAAGTAAACCGAAATGCCTGCCCCAGTCCTGCTCTGACCACCTCAAAAATGCACCTCCCCCGAGCGCTTCTGAAACCAGGTTTCATGTCAAAGGCAGGAAACAGCAGTCTCCTTCGTATAGTTCAGAAACTGAAGTGAGACTTGCAGCCAGGTTTCCAAGACCTGTGGTTGCAGGTCTTCCTCTCTCCTCCCTTTACCAGCGCCTGCCCTCCTGTTGCCTTTCATCTGAATCTTCCAACCAAGTCCTGGAGTTCAGGTGGCCTGACTGTCACTAACCTGGAGCTCCTCTCCTATGGAGCCGAGGCACTACCTGGGACCTTGGGTGGAAATTATGAGTCTGTGGTGGCTACAGTAGATAAGTGTCTTTTGATTGCAAATGATGGAAACCAACCCTGGCTAGCTGAATCGAAAAAAAAAAGAGGGGTACGGGAAAAGAAGTAGAATTTTTGGAAGAATATTAGTGTTCCCTCCCAGAATTTAAAGGCAAGCTGACCAGCAAGAGATGACAAGGAATCAGGCCAGTGATCATGGCAATTCTGAAGCTTTCAGCAAATTGAAATGCCTGCCCCAGTCCTGCTCTGATCACCTTGAAAATGCACCTCCCCCGAGCATTTCTGAAACCAGGTTTCATGTCAAAGGCAGGAAACAGCAGTCTTTCTTATGTAGTTCAGAAACTGAAGTTAGTGGCCCTTCTGTCCACTTAGAGAAATAACTAAGTAGATCCCCCGGGAAGCAAGTCCAGTGAGTGTGGGCGAGGTGAGGTGTTTGCAGGGGAGGCTCAGGTCTGTGGGGATCTCCCTCTGTGTATGAGGGTGGGACAGTCTCTACAGAAGGGGAAATAATTTTGAAGCCTACCAGCTGTGCCAAGGAGTCTATGTATTGGCCCTTTCTTGGGCAGAATGATCAGCTAAGGAGCCCTGTTTTTTTTTAGGAGACCAGATTTTTATCAGTGGGAGTTATCATTTTACAAGTAGTTTGTCATTTTCTTCATTCCACCACTCAGTCTAGCCTCATTCATGGTATTGCTAATTAAAACTAATCTACAGTCATTTCTACTTTCCTGATTGACTCAATGTCATTTATCTCAGTTTAGCTTTTGTTGGTTAAATTTTAGAAGAGGTTCTGAGACAGAATTTGGGCCCCCCATGGTGATTTGGCGAGTGTACTTGAAGTTGTTGTTCTGTCCTTGCCCCAGGCCAGGGTGGGTGTGGACCTGGGAGGCTGGTCCATCCCAGGCTCTTTCCTGCCTTAAACCTGAATTACTGTGGTACCCATTCATTCATTCATTCATTCATTCATCGAGACTTCATTATTTGAGAAACTCTATCAGGAGGTGGGAATAGAAAGATAAACTTGGCACCATACCTGCTCTGAAGGGCTCACCGGGTTTGGAAACGCACGTGCTGGGAAGGCAATGGCTTTATAACACCAAGTGGTTACAGCACTGCAGCTCAGGCAGCAATCACACCCCCCACTCCACCCCCTGCCCAAAGATTGTTACACGGCAGCATACCTGGCCCCTGCCTATGGCTATGCTTATCTCCCAGGGATGGACACTGTGGCGGTCATGATAATGGCCCCCCAAAGATGACCTCATCTTTCCCCAGACCTATGAGTATGGTATGTCATGTGGCAAGAGAGATTAAGTCTGCAGCCAGAATTAAGATTACTAATCAACTGACTTTGGGATGGGGAGAGTAGCCTGGATTGTCCAGGTGGGCCCATTGTAATCACAAGGGTCCTTACAAGGGAAAGACGGAGGTGGAAGAGAGAGAACCAGAGAGAGGGCAGCATGAGAAGGACTTGACCCGCTGTTGCTGTCTTTGAAGATGGAGGAAGGGGCCACCAGTCAAGGAATGCAGGCAGCGTCTAGAAGCTAGAAAAGGCCAAGGAATGGATTCTTCCCTAGAGACTCCAGAAGGAAAGCAGCCCTGCCAACACCTTGGTTTTAGCCCAGTGAGACCCATTTCAGACTTCTGACCTCCAGAACTGTAAGATAATAAATTTGAGTTGAGTCACGGAGTTTGTGGCAATTTGTTACAGTGGCAGGAAACTAGTACCAGGAGGGGTGTGCCTGGTTGTACGTGCAAAGACAGAGGCGAGACTAGGTGCATCTTCCTAGATCAGCATTTAAAACGTTATTTTCATATTAAGCATATGGAATAGGATGAAAATTTAGCATCAACTTTGAAGATAAAACACAAGATTTCAAATTTTTTCTAATTTGTGAGCTGCTTTGAGCCCTAGGCTCCAGTCTCCTTCTCCTCCCCTGTCAGAGGGGAGTGTTTAAGAGGCACCGATTTACTTAGCACTGTAGCCAGTGATGACTAGACGGCTGCCATTTTAGTCTTAGCAGAATGTTACACATGTGTTTTTTAACTTAACATTTTAAAATCCACGTTCTCAAAGATGAGATCGTTGGAATTTCACTTAAGGATTTAAAAATACTCTATATCAAAGCATAACATCATCTAAGATTTTTACAACCCTTTCACAAACCTTTTGATTTGGCGCTTGAGACAGCCTGGTGAAGAGAGGGCAGGCCCTCTCACTTGTCAGAGGAGGAAACAGAGCTCAGCGTGGCCGTCCAGGGCCAGTGGGGACTGAGCGGCAGGGTGGCTCCTCCCGTGATGCCCGGTGACTGCAGCGTCTGCCATGCTGCAACTGTGTTCACACAGCCCCTGAGCCTGCACAACGGCTGCTCTTGATTCAGTCGTCGCTGCTTTCGTTGTGACTGTAAAACTGTAACTGGCCCCTCGTCCCAATATGACTGGGTCTGTTCTCCTGAAAGGGTCGTGTTCACAAAAGAGCACTGGCAATGCACAGGAGCAGGACCGGGCTTCCGGTAACTGCAAAGCCATTTTTCATTCTGATCCCAATGCTACCGACATGAATGGGATGCAGAAAGAGGATGAGGCCAGAGGCCCCCAGCCTTCTCCGGGGCTGAGACCACAGACCCTCTCTGGGCTTTTCTCAACGCTCCTCTCCACTTCACAGCAGTGTGTTATCCGGGCCCAGGTACCAGAAGCCACGGCTCTGTTTTCACAGTTAGTACATAGTGCGCACTCAGGCCCCGTAGAAAGGTTTTGTTTCATTTGTAGGTTTATCATTATTATTAAGGGTTTTTTGACTGTAGTGGAGGTACTTCTCCTTCCTCATTGTCTCTCTCTTACTCCACTTTAAGGTCCATTCTTTCTATAATCTTTCAAATGTCTCCCCTGATCACCCACATAAAATACCACCTGCTCCCAACCCCACCCTTTCTGCTTTCTCTTCTTGTACCTTGCTCTCTTAGTTTTTCATAACACTTCTCTCACCTGACATACTGTATTTTTTCAAATGTTTTATGTCTCCTATACTGTAAAAGCAGATGCTATACCTTCTTTGTTTGCTTTGGTCTCCCAGAGCCTAGACAAGTGCCTGGCACATAGCAGAGCTCAGTAAATCTTTGTTGAGTGAATTACTGAATTCTTTACATCTCCCTGGTGTCTGGTACAATCCGGGGCCTGCCATATAAAAGACTCTAGTAAAATAAAAAGCAAGAAGCCATGGCAAGGAGGGAAAAAAACCTTAGCTTACTTTTTTGTAGTCAAGGTTTCTAGTTTCTGATTGACTGATTGGCGAAAGGAAGGATACAGAAGGGAGAAATGTCAGAAGTGTTGAGTCAGAACTGCTCTCAGCCGTCTGAGTGACGTGCCCAAGCCCCCAAGCCCGGCCCCTGGACTGAGCCCTTTTCCTGCCTGGACTCTCTCCCCCAGATGGAAGTGAAGGCAGTCACACACGGACACCAGCCTGTTCACACCATGTCCACTTAAGATAAGCAAAGGCCTCGTTTAGTTTAGTTTGTGAATCGGGTGCTAGGAGACCGTGGGGAGAACGCTGCGAGTCCTGCTTTGAGATCCACTGATTTGTTACAAGTTTGTTCTGAAACCAGTAAGAAAGAAGGGCAGTGGACTAAACCCTCCTATACCCCAGGGGATTTGCTGGGTTTTGTTTTCATGGCTTTCGTAAAGCCTACCTGGAAAACTTCCCGTTATTGCTTAAGGTCTAGATCAATGTCGCCATATCTATGAAAGCTTTTCTGAGTGTCCATAGAAGGGTTCTTCAGGATCCCCGGGTGCCACCAGCATGCTCGTTCACATCACTGACATTGGTCCCATCACCCTGTTCATTTCAGTGACTGTCCATTCAGGGATACCGATTGCTAGTTCTGTCTGAGCACCACGAGGCCGGAACTCATCTCATGATTTTACATCTCCAGTGTCTGGCACACGGTTGGTACTTGATACAGGCTGAGAAAAGGAGCAGGTGAATGCATGTGCAACACGAGACTTAGTCTAGTGGCAGCTACCTGGTGGTTAGCGTTTAGACCTTCTTTCTGGGGAGACCATTTGACTGTGTTTTTCTGTCTTCATTCAGGCACTCTGATTGTTCTGAAACATCCCTATCCACGAAAAGTGGAGGAACCTTCCATCTATGAATCCGTCCGGGTTCACACAGCAATGCAGACAGGAAGAACAGAAGACGACCTGGTGCCCACTGCGCCTTCCGTAAGTGGCCGTCAATCTGAGCACAGCTCTCTCACTAGCTAAGAGTGGTAATGTGCAATAAGAGTTATACCCTTTTTAAAGTGTGTTTGTTCACATAAAAATTCTAACTTGGGATATAAAACCTGGACAGGAATGTAAAGTTTGACGCCTATCACTCAGTTCATCTGGTCCAGGGAAAATCGTAAAAAAATACATGATTGTGATAGGATTTTAAATACTTAGAAAATGGCAGTTAAATCTCCATCCTTACCTAGCCAAACAAGTTCATGGTAGAGTGGGCAAGAGATGTTTAAGTTCACATAGTTGGCTACGCTGTTATTCTTCGACAAGTTTCTCCAATGAAGAAAAATATTTTCTTTTATATTTCAACTGTCTACAGAAGAAAAATATTCTCCACCTTTCCTATAAACCCTCAGGATGTTATTTTTCCCCTTACTGAATGAAGGGTCAGCCCAACCAGGACTCTCGTGCTCCTGAGTCCATTTCTGTTTGTTCTGTGAGCTGTGACTCTGCGAAGATTCCTCGCCAGCACCCTCTTCCCTTCCTTATGCTCGAGGCTCCTCTATTCTTTTTCTCTTCCTTGTTTGCCGAATCCTCCTGGTATAAGACATCTGGACAACACGCAAGTGCCATATCAAGAACTAATTCTAGACAGCAACCATTACACTTGAAAAATAACCACTTGAAGATATTCAGCTACAAATTATATTAAAACATGCGTGACCTTTCTGTCTCTGGAGTACTTTTTCTACCCTGCTACCAGAGAGACCTTTCTCAACAAGCATATTTGCCATGTGACCTCCCTGCTTGAACTTCCGTGGAGCCCGCTGTCTTCTTGGCCACCTGGCCCCTCTGGCCTCTCTGGCCTCACCTCCAGCTGCTCTCACGCTCACACTGCGGAACCTGCCTCTGTCAACGTGCATTTCTCGGGCTGTGCTCCCTGCATCACCTGCAACGCTCCCACCACTGCTTCCCCTCATCCTTTAAGACTTGTGTCAGGGATCAATATCTTCCAGGAAGCCTTCCTGGACCCCTCCTGGCTCCCTGTAAAATGCCCCACTTCTGTGCTCCCAGGCACCCTCTGCTTGCCTTTCTTCTGGGATCGTCACGCTGGAGGCTAACTACCCGCACGTGTGTCTGCCCTCCCCAACGGCGGACACAACTCAGGACAGGAATCACAGCTCGTCTTTGTAACTTCACAGCCTACCCAGGTTCATGACATTTACATTTCTGTTACTATGCTACATTACTCAAAAACAAAAATCCTGGAAATTGGTTGAGAGAATTATTTTAGCTTTGTTGGAGTTGGAGGAGGAAGCATCAGACCTCAGAACTAGAGAAATTTAGGGAAGCAAGACAATAAATAGTCCCAAGTCAGAACGGACCAAAGAACAAATCAAGACCCACACTCTAACCAATTCTCTGTTTCCCAGCGGACCGACCCTTCATGACTGTCCTGTCTGTGCTTCCCCACCCCACACCAATCTCTTCAACTTCTCCTCCATCTGCACTCTCAGTTGAACTTCCCGCCCTCCTGTTACACGTCCCCTAAACCTCTCCTCTCAGCTCAGTGAACCACACCCCACCGCTTGTGTCCTTTATCAAAAGTAAATGCAGGTGACACCGACTTTGTAGAGTTGGTGTGAGCATGAGATGTAGCGTACTTAGGTAGAAATAGACCTCTTTAGACCAAATTTTGGAAGCCTTATGACTTCCCTTCTTTGCTCGCTCCAGGCATCAGATGGATTCACCTGCCTAAGTATCTAATTATGACCATACACAGAAGGTTCTGGATAATGGAGCTTTTAAAACTGTGCTGAGTGACTGGTTGAGAATGACTGCACTCACACTATATATAGCAAAGCCCACGAAGTATGTTGTGCATTAATATAGACAGAAAACTATGAAGGTTCTCTAGTGGATTCTGTCTGTCATTACTCCTCACCAAGGAATGACTGATAGCTGAGCAGGCTACGGGGACACAGTGCTCGTCTGATCAGAATGCTCTTGTCACTCCCTGAGCACGAGAGTTCTCAGCCTTCTCTGTTAGCCCCAGAGCCCACAGGAGACTGCGCCTTCACCCCACCCTGGGCTCTGAGGGCTCCCAGACTTCTGTCTGCTCTTTCCGGGATGCAGTTCTTGCACAAGCTCTGGCCACAGAGGAAGAGAATTAAGTCCTATTTACAGGAAAAAGAACTTCTTGCTTGAAGTGAAAATGAAAATAGATGTCCTGTTGCCCAGACATGTAGAAACTTGTGTAAAACTGTTTGCCATCCTTCAGCAACTGCATTTGGGGGAATTACTATTTATATATTTTATAAACAACATCGAGTTGGGTTCCTGAGATAGGATGACATTTAACTATTTCATTTATTTGACAAACTTTGTTTCAAGTGCCTACCATACGCTCAGGGCTGTTTTAAGCACTGGTGGTGGGCGGTAAACTAGGCAGAGGCTCTGCCCTCATTGAGCTCACATTCCAGCGAGGGCATCACAGACAATAATCAGCATAATAATATAAAACCAGAGAGTACTATGTCATGAAAAGAAAGACGTAGTACTTCCACTACGTTTGGAAGTCTGTGGATGTTCTAGTTGTCACAAGGCTTTGGGGCACGACTGGCGTTAGTGGCTGTCGAGAACCGTGAAGAGCCGGAGACTTGACCCTACTCGCAAGCCAGTGGCCCGCCACAGTGTGGGGCTGCAGGGGAGAGGACTGCTGGCTGCCCGCCTTGTCCTCTGAAGGGAGACACTATTTCTAAGGCTGTTGGCTATATAAACATGTTGTAAAAATTGGTCTGGAACAAAGGGCTGTCGGTGCCTTGCTCAGAAGACAAACGGAAACACGAGGGACCCCCCAGAGAACTGTTCCCAGCAACAGGCAGGGGTCGTGGAGGGCGAGTATGCTGCAATACAGTGAGGAGTCGGCCTGCCCAACGTCAGGTGTGCCTGCTTCGGACAACGCGAAAGGCCTCGTAGGGCAAGGTCCAGGGTTCACCTCCGTTCTGAGTGCTGACGAGAAAGCACACGACTTTTGAGTAGCATAATTTTATGTTTGTGTTTAAATTTTTAAAAAGTTCATTCTCACTACTAAGTGGAAAATGGAGTGGGGGCAAAGCTGGAGGCAAGGAGCCCAGGCAGGAGGCTGTTACCGCAGTCCAGGTGAGAGGTGGTGGTGGCTGAAACCCGGGGGGGGGCGGGGGGGGGCGCACATAAGCACTGGTAGTTAGAACCGGCGGAAGGGACGAGAACTGGCCAACTTCAGGACGTGTTTTGAAAGAAGAAGAGACAAGACTTACTGATGGATTGAATGTAGTCAGTGAACGAAAGAGCCATGGACTGAGCCCTCCTGCCAGTGAGCGGATGGCTCAGACAGCAAGGGGACGGCGTCCCGGGAGGGGACAGAGCAGTTCTGTTTTGGACCTGGGAAGTGTGAAATACCAACTAGCTATGTTGGTAGAGATTAAGTCAGATGATAGAATTCAAGTGCCTGACATAGAATGGGTCCTATCTAAAATATTAGCTTTCTTAGCTTCCCTTTTGTGAAATACAGCATTTTTAACAACTCTCTCCTTCTAAAGTTTCTGTTTCCTTTGCTTCTGGAACATCTTTCCCTCTCTATTCTGTTATCTCTTTAACACATTTTATAGTTCTTCGTCTGGGACACCACCCTTGCAAGACGGCCTCTTCCAGTATTTTGTCTTTGAAGCACTTCTCACAGTTAACATTGTGGTGTCTCTCCTTCCAGTCTTTTTTCTTGAATAAATATACATTTAATATATATGAATATATACAATGAGCTCATTGTAAATAGAGTTGCAATCTGCTTGTTTAATTAATTATATATTGTGAACATCTTCTGTGTCATTATATAGTCTTCTAAAACATTATTAAAACAAATTTCTTAATATTCCATAATTTGGATGTATCATAATTTAGTTAATCCTCTATTATGTTTTTACATGCTATTTTTTATTTTAAATAATTTCAAAGTTACAGAAAAATTGCAAGAACAGTACAAAGAAATTTGTTTGTTCCTGAGCCATTTCAGAGTAAATTGCCAACACGATGTCCCATCACTCAAATACTTCAGTGTGTATTTCCTACACACAAGGACATTCGCCCCCGTGACCATATAGAGCCATTCAGATTAGGAAATTACCATTGATACAGCACCACCATCGCAGCCACAGATCTCATTCAGGTGTCACTGGTTTTCCTCCCAAGGTCCTTTAGAGCAGCACGAGGATCCCATCCACAGTCATGGGCTGCACTGACTTGTCCGACCTCTCGAGTCTTCTCTCTGGAACACTTGGTCAAGTTTTCCTTGATGTCATGACTTTGACACTTCTGAAAATTAAGGGCTAGTCATTTTGTGAACTGTTCCTCAATTTTGATTTGTCTGACATCGCCTTGTGTTTAGACTCAAGTTTTGCATTTTTGGTAGAAATACCACAAAAGTGATGCTTTACGCTTCTCCCTGCATCCTCCCAGGTGGAACACGATTTCAGTTTGTCCTGGTACAGAGTGCTCGATTACTTGATTAATCGGTGTCTGCCAGATTTTCCACACTAAGATCACTTTATTCCCTTTGTTATTAATAAATATGATGTGATGGGAAGTTATTTGAGACTAAGCAAATATCCTGTTCCTCATTAAACTTTTATCCCTCAATTTTAGCATTCATTGATATTTCTTGGCTATTTTAATTATTACTATTATTGTTGCTAAATGGTGATTCTGTGATTCTCTTACTCCTTTTACATTTATTGGTTGTTATTTTACTCTAAGGAAAGCTTTTTATTCTCCGAATTTATCTATCATTTATTTTTATATCAATGGGTTATAATCATGACTATCTTATGTATTTTCATCCTTCAAAATTTCCCAGATTTGGCCAGTAAGAGCCCTTGTAAGGTGACTTCTGTGTCCATAAAGCCTCATAATTCTTTGAGAATTTCCTTCCTTTCTGGTACAGCAGAATATTCCAGGCTTACCTTGAACTTTCCTTGCATCCCGCTCCAGAATCAGCTATTTCTCCAAGAAATTTTGTTCTTTTTTTCTGGAGAGTGGTACTTTAGAAATCAAGATCTGGGTGCCACATGCTGATTGTTATCAGAACATCACTCTCAGCCTGCTCAGAGAACAGAGATAGGGAAAATATGTGTGTATACACATATGTGCATATACATGTCGACGTCTATTAATTTGTATTTCAATCTATCACATATTATCTTTTTGTCTACCTGCAGGTTCACACTGATACCTCCAATCCTAATCCAATACCACAAGGCTCCTTCTAGTGTTTTCCCTCTTCATATTTGTAACTCCCTTTCCCCACAGTGAGGAATATGGATCCCATTATCTTCAATACATTTACTCATGTGTTGATCAATCTCCAATTGCCGGGAACACCACTGCCTGGCCACTGTCACTCCCACCCCCACCAGAGATGCCCACCAAGCCTGACTTGGCTCTGAAACTGCACTGGTTGCCGCCTCCACCCCCTCGGAGGGAAGCCCTCCTGACCCTGCCAGGCTTCGACTCCTCACACCAGCTGCTGTCCCTGCCGTGGTCCACAGGGCCGCTCTTTGTGCCCTGCTGGGGTCCCACCCTGTGCTAGATCCCCCAAGCGCCCAGCGCACGCTCGCTGAGGCGGCCTCGCTCCACCCCACCCGGGGGCCTGTGACTGAATTGAAGGAAGGTAGGCAGGCAGGGTGGGAGGATGGTAGGAAAGCTAACTCTTTATTTTTTAATATTTAGGTTGTTTCCAATTTGGGGCTCTCATAAACATCTTTCCTGTTACAGACCATAGATTTTTTTAAAGCTAAATCTATACATATTTACTTCCTTTTTTACCTCCTGAAACCATGAATAAAATTAGTATTCTCAGCTCTTCCCTCTGCAGCCTCCTGCTTATCTATCACAACGTTAGACAAATAGTCGATTTATAGTATATTGTTTGGATGAAGGTAAGATGGAGTTGGTAACATCATTCCTTAGTTTGAGTTCAATGAATAACTCTCTCCAGGTCTTCTGTGTAACAATTTACCCTTATTATTTTGCCTCTGCAGATGTTAACCTACAACAACCCAAAATATCAACTCTTGCCATTTCCTTAATATAATACCTAAACTCAACTGAGTCAGTTCAATTTCTTTTAACGTCAAAATAAACCAAACTGATTATTCGATATCAAATTCACTAATATTGTTTAACGTTCTTTAAATGAACACCTGGGAAGTTCATCCTTAGTTTAACGCCAGAAGAACTTTAGAGAAGTGGGTGTATATTATTTCTTGCTTCAACTCTTTTTACTGTGGTGGTGGCTGTTCCTCCTTTTATTTGGGAGGGAGAATTCATCTCAGAAATAAATGCTCTGGAAACTCCCATAAAAAGAACCTTGATGCCAACCAAGTCACTTCCCAGTTTTTATTCTTTTTTTTTTTTTTTTTACTAATACAAGATATATTATGATATGATAATAGAACAAAATCTCCCACCAGGAATTCAATTTCTTCAGAAATTTCTGAAATTATAAATTTCGTCATCGTAGAGTCCTTGTTTTATGAAAATTTCTTTTTACACAGCTCCCCTCTGTTCCTTACATTTCATAGGTGCCAGCTAAGTGTGTGATATTGTTGTTACCCTCGAATTAATGATATGTGAGTTAAGAAATAACTCATTCTCACTTCAAATCTCTTTTGGATAAATCAAGTGTAAATAAATCTGCTCTCCTGAAAGTCTGTCCCGTGGAATATGGGTCTCAAGAGATGGTCTGTGAAAAAGAAGGGGTGGGGTGGGGAGGATTATGTGATAAAATAAATATTGGAAATGCTGTTTCTAAGGTTCCTTCTTAAAAATTCACAAAGCATACCAGCATGACACCAACACTCTGGGAAGCCCTGAAGTCAAGAAATCCGTTTACTTTGCTTCATCCAGAGTTCCCCAGATACGTTGCCCCAGTGTCAGTACTGTGCGTGTTGATGTGTGGAAGGCCCTGATGTGTGGAAGGCCCCTGTGGTGGGATCCACGGGACACGGTTTGCCCAACACTGACTTTTTAGAAGTGATGTGACATGGTTTATTGTTTGCAGATTGCTAATTCCAGTCAGAAGAGAGTCTTTCAGTTGCTGCCTGTTGCTATAGAATTACCCTAGACCGGGCCATCTGAAAACAGTCTCACAACAGCGAGGATTTGCAGGGGCCCAGGGGAAGAATGAAAGGCGGTTGTTTCAAGGGCGAAGGCAGACAAAGGTTTCACTTTAAATAGGACAGAAACAGAAAGACAGCCGTCATGTTGGGATAGTCTGGGCTTCACCTGTGCTTCTTCCTCTTTCAGCTGGGCACCAAGGAAGGGTACCTCACCAAGCAGGGAGGCCTGGTGAAGGTAAGGGGCACGTCTTTGCCGGCGCCAGACACGGAGAGGGAGGACACGTCCCGGAGACTCAATTCGCACCGTGACACTCTTTTTAAAGCATAATTGGCTACTCATTTTGACCCAGTTATAATTTTTGCTTTTTTCAAGAGTTGATTTTTATGGCTCATGTTGGTCAAAATTCTGCAAAATCACTTGACTATTCTTTGGCAACGCCAAATGTGTGAGAGTAGCCTACAGGTAATACCCAGGGAAACATTCAGTCTTGTAAATGGAACGATCGAGGATGAAAATAGCAAGTTCAATATAGAATTCTTCTTTCCTTTTTTCTTTTTTTTTTTAACAAGAAAGAAGTCAAAATTATATAAAATCTTTACCTAAAAATAGGCCAAAAATATCACTGGCACTTATGTAACTATGTTATAAAGTCCCAAAGAAAACATAATTAAGGACTTCACTAGTCCAGGGTATCCAACTGTCCCCCATTTATGTGACTGTACCTGTCAAGTTACTCAATTTCATGTTAATGTGCCAAGAAGACCCTCACGGGTACCAGCCTGCTTGAATCCAACCACAATATTTAGTTATTTGTGTCCCTACTAGACTGGATGCTCCCTAAGGATGGGAAATCCTCATATTTATAGCATATTTATTTTCAAATCCTCTGTGACTTCTTTTAACTGGGTACATTGCCACCCAGGATAAGATTAAGCTTCTATCCAGGGTTAGTAAATCAGAAGGACACAGTGGGGAACAATAGTTTTTGCCACCAGTGCCACGGAATTCTTAGGCAAGGTTTAGAATATGATGTGCTTGGACGTTCCTAACCCTCAATTTGCTTATTTGTAAAACAAGAATAACGATATTTGGTGCATTGTATGAGGATTAGCTATAAGATATATAAATGTCCAGGGATAGTATGTAAGCTGCAATAGGTGCTCCAAAAATGACATCTAATCTAACTATAGAGTTAATGAGATGGCAATTTTAATGGTTTGCTATGAATCACCTTGCATGTTTATGATAGACTATTTCTTTTTATTTGTGTAAATATGTTAATGATATCTCTGCCTTCATTATGAGCTTAATGCATGGAGTTATTTTAATGCCACCACAAGAATATTTTATTGCACCTAATCTTTTAGACACTTTTAAAACAAAAGGAAATTGTCTAGTTCAAATATTGCATTCCTGTACTCAAAACCTATGTGTTTTAATTATCTTTTTTCTCAGACCTGGAAAACAAGATGGTTCACTTTACACAGGAATGAACTGAAGTACTTCAAAGACCAGATGGTGAGAAACAGGATAATATATTTTCCACGTAAAAATCAGCTCTCTAGATGAAAGGAACATCTGCCTTCCAAATCCCTGAGGTTTTCCTTAGGAGCACCTACAACACCCAGTAAATGATTGGAGACGTGAGTTCTTGACTCCTGACAGCAACCGAGTTCTTGTGCAGAGACGAGGTGTGTGTCGCGGAGACTTCCCTGTAGGCCCGCGAGAGCAGCTCCCCAGGCACAGCACTGCCTCTGTTTAGAGCAACGGAATTGTCCTCTTGCCACAGGTGTTAACTGTCTCTTGTGGCAATCTCCCCCTTTATTAAAAACATGTCCTTTTGCCATGCCCATTTCATTAAGCCAATTTAAAACTATCTTATTTCTTCTCCCTTGCTCTATACAAAATTTCTGAGAAAGTAGAAGTTTAAAAACATGAGAGAAAAATATGGCTCCCTTTCATGAGTTACAATCCATCTCCAGCCAATTTAAATGAGCAGATCTGTCTCTTCTTAATGCCCAGTTTCATGATAGGCCAATTCCCAGATCAGGAGTGTATGACCTCCCTTAGTGAAGTTTTTTATTGTCTGTCCCCTTAGTGAAAGTAAAACTGCCAGTTGCACATAGTGGAAGATGTGTTAGGGGATCAAGTGATGAACAGACTGTATGTTTTTTTATAATGACATAGGTTGCTTTTTTTTTTTTTAAGTCACCAGAACCAATTCGGATCCTAGACTTAACGGAATGTTCGGCTGTACAATTTGATTATTCACAGGAAAGAGTAAACTGTTTTTGGTAAGTTGTTTTATAAAGAAAATGTTTTTAAAAATCTTCTCGCCAGACATTTATTTTAGCTGAGGAATGTGTACAAATGTTTTGATCTCAGGGACACGTATTTAACATCACACAGGGCATATATATTAAGAGGGATTTCAGCTAAGTGTGACATAATGCCTCATTTAAAGTGACTTAAACAAATAGGCGGGTCTGCTGGGTACAATTGTTTAGGTTGTGCACTGCACAAGTATGATACACATAAGAGGTGCCATTCACATCTTGAACAGCTTTATTCCTTTGGAGTTTTTTCCTCAGATTTAATTAAAACTTGGTTGACTCCAACGAGGGGTGATTTGTATTGTTATGACAATTTCTGGCAGATGGCACAAAAGTGTTTTGTTCTAATGTAATCAATGTATCATGACAATTTTCTAACTGGGAGAAGTAAAGTGTCTTGAGAAAGAAGTATCTTATTTCCCATCAACATTTATTTTAAAGTTTTTTCCTTACTTCCTCCCTCCCTCTCTCCCTTCCATCAGCCCCAAGCTAACATCCAATGCCCATTTGCTGAGGAAGATCGGCCCTGAGCTAACATCCGTGCCCATCTTCCTCCACTTTATGTGGGACGCCGCCACAGCATGGCTTGAGAAGCAGTGTGTTGGTGTGTGCCTGGGATCCGAACCTGTGAACCTCAGGCCACCGAAGCTGAGCACGCGCACTTAACAGCTTGCACCACCTGGCCGGCCCCTAATGTTTTTCAATCTTACAGAAGTTGAAAAACTCATGCCCATATTCCTCTCACTTAGATGCGTCAATTGTTAATATTGGCCATATTCGTTTTGTCTCTATTCACTTCTTCCCTGAACCAGTTGAAAGGAAGTTGCAGACATTATGGCACTTTACCCCAAATACTTGAATGCGCATCTCCTAAGAATAGAAATATCACCTGTAGGGCTGGCCCCGTGGCTTAGCGGTTAAGTGCTCGCGCTCCGCTGCTGGCGGCCCGGGTTCGGATCCTGGGCGCGCACCGACACACCACTTCTCTGGCTATGCTGAGGCCGCGTCCCACATACAGCAACTAGAAGGATGTGCAGCTGTGACATACAACTATCTACTGGGGCTTTGGGGGGAAAAAGAT